GGGGGGGGGGGCGAGATTAGCCTTCCTCCCATGCATGGCCCCCTCCTCTAGCTGTTTTTTTAGCTAGTCCCTGAAGCACCCAACCACCAGCATGCCCAGGGGCTGTTCAGTTAATGGACAGTACCTGCAATTACTGCCTGTTGCCAATTGGTTTTTCTGGCACAGCCCCAGAGTAACATGAAAAAAAAAAATCACATTTCAGAAAGATCTGATGAGGTACAATTTCACTGCTAATTTTTTTTTTTTGTGTGTGTGTGTCTGTCTTTCTTTTCCATTACTGTTCAGGGCAGAAGACGTTTACAGTGGAAGAAGCTGTGGAAACCATTGGGTTTGGGAGGTTCCACATAGCACTTTTCCTCATTATGGGAAGCACTGGTGTAGGTTTCTGCAGCCATCTATATTAATCCTAAGAAATGCTTTTCTCATTGCCCTTACTGCTGTGCAGTAATAATTGTAGGCACCAAGTGCTAATACTGCAGTCCATTTTTTTTTCACATGTAGTTTCTTAAGCAGCATTTCTGTATTTTCTCCAGCCGAAACTGGTATCTGCCTGTGCCTGTGTCACACCTATTTCAGGGCAAAACTCAGCAGGTTGGTCCAGAGCATCCTTATCCCTCCTCTGCCCTGGAGCAGTGGTGGAGCACTGTCCCACCAGGCAGCGCCAACAGGGTATTTCTTCAGTCCTGTTTGAGTACTTGTATTGAGCCTCCCAGCCATGTTTTTCATGCTGTCCCCATGACAATCAGACCCTGTGCAGCCTGGCAGAGAGGGCTGCCCCCTCTCTTGCTCTTGGCTCCCCAAAGAATTTCCTGAGGGCCAGGGTCCTCCATTAATGGTGTAGCTGTTTTGGGACCTGGGGCACAAGCCTGACACCATCCTGGGGCTAAAGGTGTGATGGAGATGCATTCACTAGGATCACTTCAAGGCCGCTAGCTGCGCGTGAACGATGGGCTCATTTCTTAACTAAAGCCAGCTGCTAGTGGGAAACAACCATTGGGCCAATGCAGCACTGTACTGATTTACTGATATTTATTTACGGGGTCATCTGTGAGTTAGATGCCCAAGTCCACAGCTGGGTACCTAGCTAAGCAGCTTGGTTTCAGAAGACTGTTGAAGATCTTCCGCTAACGCTGCTGGAAGATATCCTCCTCTGCAAAGGATGAGCCTTTCCAGCCCTTCTAGACACACACTATGTCTAGATACCCACTTTCTTACCTCCCCTTTCCTCTCCCCATCACCCTCGCTCCATCTTCCTGAGCAGTCACAGGGCTCAGACCATGGCCAATTTACCACAGTCAACAGTACCTGTACGCCAGCCGGGCACACAGCCCATGGGCATGTTCCTGCTCTGTGGCATGCACAAGGTCAAGGTCTTGGATTCAGCTTAGATGGCTGAGGTCTGAGATGCTCTGTCTTACCTTGCACTCATGATAAGTAGGAGCATGGACACCCTCCACTGCTGTGGTTCAGCTGCAGTGCTGGTAAGCAGCGGAAAGGCCAGCAACATGGCTTAGCCCCAGCATGATTTGGTCTTGCTGAGAGCTACCTGTACCACCACTGCTGCGTGGCTCAGCATGCAAACAGCAGAGGTATTTGCAGTGGGGCTTTCTCCCCTCAAACTGTGCCACAGGCTGGGGGCTGATAATGCCTCCGTTCTCCCTGCATATCCTCTCAGATGGGGCTTTACGCACGCAGTGAACTGCCTGGAAATGATGGGCCTGACGTGTCTGCAGGCTCGACATGACTGAGAGTGGAGGCTCAGCCTGTTCCTTGGAGCAGCCCTTGCTTGCTAACATGAACATTTGTCCCCAAAGGTGGCTGAAGCCATGGAGATCATGCTAATAGCTGTTGTTTCCCCTCTCATCCGATGCGAGTGGCATCTTCAAGACTGGCAGGTGGCTTTAGTGACAACGGTGAGTGACTTGTGCCGCCCTGCTTGTCTGCTATGTGAGCATTGTCAGGGACACCGTCACTGGCCTTGTTTTAAAGCACATTTCCTGGGCAGTGAGGAGCTCAGGTGTTAAGGTAATGACAGGCTTAGCTGTACCTTATCTGAAAATGCCAACTTCAGTTTTCCCCTCTCCCCCCCTGCCAGAGCCAGAACTGAGAAACGACTGAGTTACTAGGGCCGCCTTTCGAGGGAGAAAATAGGGCCACAACGCTACAAATGCAGAAAATGAGGTGAAGTGAGCGCACATCTGAGTCCAGAGCCACAATGCGAAAACCAGCCTTTCTCCCCTTACTCTTTTTTTGAAAGCCTTGCCATCCTTTATTTTGAGGATCTAAACAGTGAGGGCCCATGTGGAGGATGGTGATCCCCCAAAAGCCACATGGCTGACCTTTACACGTGGCTCTGGGCATTGCAGTTTATCCTACTGTTTAGAAAACATTGCTCCCCCTCAGTTTTAAGAGCAGAGCCACCAGGTCTGGCCAGGAGTGGACACTCCATAGCTGGCTATTTCAGGCCATATTTCAATTCTTTGTAGATGGTGTTTTTCGGCTACATGGTCTTCAGCATTGTCCTTGGGCTCCTGGCTGACAGGTACGGCCGCTGGAAGGTGAGTGAGCACCAGGGTTGTGCCTACTTCTACTGATCCCGCAGGACCCAGAGCAGCACCTACCACAGGTTCACTGAAGCTACCTGAGCAGGCCCATGAAGGAGCTGCTGTCATTTATCCTCTTCACCACATAAGACACAACTGCAGTGAGGATTTGAGCAACTTTAAAATGTGGGTGCCTAAAGTGCAGCACGAAGATAGCCCCAGCACGGGGCTCAAAACCCCTCAGACATGTGCCAGCCCTTCCCACAGCCTCCCCAGGAGCAGATCTGCACCACTGCAGTGGAAACTGGCTCTCTCTCATGGTAGAAAGCCAGACGCCATGAAAGTAAGCACTGCAATACCCATCCTCTGCCACGCGTGAAATCACCTGGCTTCTTCCTTACCTCATGCCCTGGCCCCGGAAAGCAGTCCAAATATTGGGAGCGCAGCCCTGAACAGAGAGGTTACCCTGAACTGAGCCCTTGGTTTGTGACCCTGATTTTACCCTTCCAGATTCTGCTGCTCTCCTTCCTCTGGGGGGCCTATTTCTCCCTGCTGACCTCGTTTTCCCCATCCTACATCTGGTTTGTGTTCCTGAGGACCATGGTAGGCGGTGGCGTGTCGGGTCACGCACAAGGGTAAGAGGAAACTTCAAGCCTCGTGGCCCTGACACGGCAACCAAAGCTTCACTGGGGCAAGGGTGAGGTGTGCGCTCCTTGGGCCAATGGCACCAGCTGGAAACTGAGAGGGAGGAAAAGGAGGAGGGAGGGCGGAGGGAAGGAGGGGAAAGGCCTTAGGAATGGAAATGCACCTTTTTCAGTGTGTTATTTTCTTCGGGGTTAAGTGGGGAATGTAAAGAAAGTAAATGGAACTGAATTAGCTGTATCAAAGGCGAAAGGGCCAGCAGGTGCCCTGTTGATGTGGGGCACCCACATTTGGGCTCATTATGTGAGACTCTGCTTCCAAAAAAATGAGAGCATGACTCCACTTTTCTTCTTTAGACAAAGCACCCTCAGACCCAGAGGGGCTGAATTCCCTGGTTAAAGCCAGAAAGGCTCTTCACTTCCTTGTGGCTGACCTCCAACATAGTGCCTGGTTGCTCTTGCACGCAGCCTGATAAGCTGGTCCTGGGCTGTGACCTAGAGGAGACAGCCAGGAAGGGGCCTCTGAGGGGGCCAGAAGAGGAAATGGGAGGAAATTCCCACATCTCCTTAAAAGAAAAAAAAAAAAAAAGCCATTCTGTAATTTCATAGAATCCCTGTCACTCTACCTAAATTGAAATTCCCAAGCACTCATGAGCCTTGGAGTAGACGGGACAGCTGGTTTGTATTAAATCAATGACAGAAGGATTATTAAACACATAGATTATAAAAATAGTTAGACAGGTAATAGATGAGTGAAGGCAGCTTCACCGTAAAAAATAGTCACAGCAATTCTGCGTAAGTAACAGATTCTTCTTGAACTGATGTAGAACGTTCTCACTCACTTAAATGTAAACCTGTTTTCCTGTTGGGAGGAAATGGGGAGGTGAGGCAGAAGGATAATAAAATTCACAATATTAAAAGCAATTTCACTAGGAGCCTTGCAAAAATGAATTGTTTCTTTCAACTTTGTCAGTGGGAACAAATCCAGAATTTCAGCATCTTCCATGGTTCTCCTTCCTCAAAGCCCATGTTGAAGTAAGGGTGCATGGTGCTGGTGAGACGCCCTTGGTGCCTGCTGCGGTGGGCACAGGGTGCTGCTGGCTGTGGGGCAAGGAGCTCGGGCCCATGCGAACAGATGTGGGAGCTGAGATTTTAAAGGAAGCAGACCTTCCTGATAGTAAAGCTGTTGCGGGGTGGTATGAATGCTTGATCTTTCAACGCTTTTCCTAAGGCAGAGCGCCTGAGGAGGAGATGTGGAGTGCGGTCACCCATTTCTGGTTGATCAGTGATGGGAGAGGGGTTGTCACGCAGGCTACTGGCCGTAGCGTCTAACAATAGAAATAACAATGAGCTGAACTGATATTGGACTAGTATAGAAATTCTCATTGACTCTCTGTCTTTCTGCATGTCTTTTCCTTTTTGCTAGGCTTATCATAAAAACAGAATTTTTGCCTACCAAATATCGAGGATACATGTTGCCCTTATCTCAGGTATGTGTGAGTTTGTTGCTGTTCCTTCTAGCCCAGAGTCCCAGGAGATTTGTCTGGCTGCTGTCTAGAAACGTGATCTCCAGCAAGTCAGCCTTTGTCCCACACAATCTGCATTTATCTTGGGCAGAGCAAGTGTCTTCTGCCTTCGATGCCCCAGAGTGTATACTCTGCATTATTAAACATGTACGTAGATACTTGTGTGCAGAAGAGAAGCAATTTCTTCTCAAATAATTGGATGTTCCAAACGTCGCATAGGGACTTTGAGTGACAGCTGACATCCAACCTTCTGGTTACCCTATTGATAACTGTGTTGCCTGCTTTAATGGGGTCAGCGTTGTGGGTTGGGGGGGGGGGGGGGGGGGGTCAGCAGCAACAGCTCATGCCGGAGTAGTGCTGTAAGCATGAAACCGCAGGAGGAACGTCCTTATTGCCATGCTCCCTACCGGGGGGGCTGGGGAGGACAGCCAGCTCTCAGCTGGAAACCAGCTGCAGTGCCAAACGCGAGGCCAGCCCTGGGTAGAGGGCGTTCCCATCTCAGCTTTGCTTATGCCTTTAGGCCTGGGTTCACCCCACATTCCTTTGAGTCTCCCGCTGAGGTAGATGGATCAGGAGCCTGGGGCTCTGTCTGGGGTCCATGGGGGAAAAGAGCCATGCAGACACTGGCCAAAAGCGAGGCGGGCTGAGGAGGTGCCCTTGAGGCTGGGGCAGCTTGACAACTCATATTGCTATTTGGTGGGGGGGGTGGGGGGCTCATGTTAGGTAGGATAACCATAGCAATAGCACATGATTAATGAAGCAATTCCCACATTTGTGGGAAGTGTCCCAAAATTTGTAGGGAGTCCCAAATTCGTGCCCCTCGATGTCCCTGCTCATGCTGCTTTGCTCAGCAGAGGGCTAGCATAAATTGTTATAAGTTAGGCCTGAGATGTGCTGGGAAGGGTTGTGACCACTTGTCGGGGAAAGATCATGGTAAGCATGACTGGAGTTATTTCTTGCTCTAGATTTTTGCTTTTGCTCTGCAATGGGCGCTTTATGCATGTGCAAATTATCTGGGAAGACTTCACTGAACATATGAATTTGTCTGACTGTTGGACCAAGAGTGTTTGTATCTGGTCTTGGTGGCCAGGATAATTTGTTTTTAATTATTCTCTGTTTGATCTCAGGGCTTCATTACCAAAGTGTCATCAGAAACAGGAAGATTTATAAAAAAGAATAATCTTGTATTTCTCTCCAAAAATCCATTATTTCTGCCCACAGATTGCTCATGAACTGGCTGTGGCTTTTATGAATTTGTTTGTGCTTTGTATTGACTTAAATCCTTTGTGTGACTAAAAAGAACACTTTTCCTAATGGCTACAAGTGAACTTTAGGGAGGAATGTACTTGCAGATCTGGGGCCAGATTCTCCATTGGTATAAACTGGCATTGAGTCCACTGGAGACCCATCAACTTCCAGCAGTGGAAAGCTGGCCTATTATTGCCTTTGTTGCTTGTAAAACTACTGCTTCCCACAGAGATTCAGACAAGAGAAAAAGTCATAGGCATGAACATTAGCAGAGAAGAGAGTGGAAGGACAAAAGAAGCGAATAGAAGGGTTTTATGTACAATGATGGCCACAGCAAGTTATATGTTTTTATCCAGAGCTAATTAAAACTATCTTCAGACATCTGTCCCCAAAACCTCATCTTTCCCTCTTTCCTTCAAACCAAATTCAGCTTCACAGACAGTCACAGGATGGCTCAGTTTGAACTGCAGCTCTCCCCAGTAGAAATCTTGATGTATCCAGGGAATGAGCCATAAGGGATGAAAATAAACAAATCACTGCCATGTGTTCATTTATTTTAACCTCTTGATTTGTATTTGGGAAGGTGTTTTGGTTGGCAGGCTCCTTGTTAATCATTGGCCTGGCATCAGTGGTCAACCCAACCATCGGCTGGCGGTGGCTGGTCAGAATTGCCTCCATTCCTGGCATCGTCCTCATCCTGGTGTTCAAGGTAAGGAGACCCTTTTTGCCCTCTTGGCCACAGCACTGCATTGGGCCTAGTGTCCTCCCATAGCCACCAAGAGGCATTGTCCTCCGCAGTGCGCAAGCCCAGGCCTGCCATGGGGTCCTTGCTTTAGCACCGCAGCCCTCTTGTACAGGGAGATTTGAGAAGGTCTTGCACACGTGGACCGGTTGCCAGGGAGATGTTGCCCAGCAGGAGACAGCTGCTGCCTCCAGCTTTACTACCTCACTGTGGCCCCCCCTTCCCCCCACCCCCAGGTCCATGGACACTGGTGTGGAGTCCTGCCAGTGGTACTGAGAGACTGCGGTAACAACGTTGAGACAAGGACAGGCTAGATAGGGTATGCAAGAAACCATGACCGCTAATACCTTCAGTCTAGTGCTGGCCCCAGCACACTCTTTTCAGTCTTTAAATTTACTAGGATTGAGCAAAGAAGCCTCAATAAAGAACTTAGCCGCAAACTAGCATCTTAGCCAAGATGTGTCTTCCCCGAGTCTATTCATTCGTCAGAAATAACAGCCGTGGACACAAGGACCATTTTATTTCTGTGAAGTGAAGTGGAAAATCCCTACTAATAGTGCTAGTGGGCACTACAGTGCTTAGTTGCGATTGGGTGAGCAAGTCATGGGGATGTAAAATCCCTGTCTTTGCCTGAATGAACACATAAGTCCATCTGTGGTGATATCTGTGCGGTCAAATGTAAGATCACTGAGAACGTCCATTCGCATATCTGTGATGTTTGATTTCCCTGATTATTTGTGCCAGGAAAAATGGGTAGTGGCAGCTTTTGGTCTAAACAAAATAAAAGCACAGTCAACATAAAGCACTCTAAAAAAAAAGTTGCCTTAAATTTATATTTTCAGTGATATGCATGTAATTATTTAAAATTTAATATATATATATCATTCCAAAAAAGAAGTTTTATTCTGGGGTGAGCAGAAGGGATGGGTGAATATCAAATCCTGGTGATGAATGATTTGGCCCTAAATCTTACTCCTGTCTTCCTTTTTTTTATTTAACAATTCCGTTGAGTGTTCTAAGACTTTGGTGTGAGTGAGTGATATGTGCCTCATCCCATTTTAAAATTTTAATTAATTAAATGTAGGGTTTTTCTTTTAAACCATTGTCTTTGGCTTCCCTCCCTCATGCGTGGTTGTCCCAGGCAGCTCAGTAGCAGACCCCTGGGAGCCTGCACATGAAATGGGCGTGCTGGACAGAGCCAGCTTCCCGCCACATGGGGCGGTGGGGAGCTGGGAGGCCTCAGCCCATGCGTAAATCCAGACCATTGTGCCACCAGGACTGGGGAGGAGGAAAGGCAATTGACCTTTTAGCTCATGCATTTCTCTGTCTGGCTCATACAGCCAGCCCTCTGGACACGAAGTGTAACTGGCAGCCATGTAGGTATATTTGTGCAGTATCTACTGGAAAGAGACCAGCAGAAAGGCTTTCTAACTCTCCTCTGCTTTCAGTTCATCCCAGAGTCTGCTCGGTACAACGTGTCCACGGGAAATGACGAGGCTGCCCTGGCCACGCTGCGGAGGATCGCCAAGATGAACCGCGCGGCAATGCCCGAAGGGGTCCTGAGGGAGCCAGCAAATGTAAGCGCGAGCTGCGGGCTCTGCTCCTGTGCGCCGCTCCTGCATTTCTGAGATTTGAGGTCATGAAGCAAGACTGCCAAGCGTGTCTTGCTGGGCATTTTTCCCCTTCTGTGTCTGATTCCTTTCCAAAGGGCTATTGATGAAGGTATCATTTTTCTTTTGAAGAGACAGCAATCTTAGCCCTCAACTGGAATAGGGTTTTCTAGGTTTTGGGGTTTTTTTACATTCTTTGTTTCCACTCAGATGAATATTATTCTGAGAAAAGATTTGCTTCTTTACCACAAAAAGGGCTCCCCATAGAGTGCATTCTTCCTTATTGCTCATCAATACTCCCAGTGGTTTCCCAATGTACCATGGGATATAGGATTTGCTCCTCAGAGTACCTCTAGGGAATATGGCCTGTCGGGTTGCAGAAAGCAAGGGGTCCTTCCTGCAAGGTCAACCAGCCTGTCCCCAGGAGAAACGGGAACACTGGGAACACCTATGTGCGAACACAGCGGAAGATCAGGCTTTCATCTGTGGCCTGAAGCCGCTGCAGGTTGCTGGTACAATGACTGTCAGTTGCATCTTGGATATTAGTAAAATTTCTAACCACCTAGTTTCTGAAAGTTCTGGAACTTATTTGCCATTTCTAAGCAGATAGAAATGCTTCTTGAGGTGGATTCCCATAAAGTGAGCTCCTAGCATTCCTGGTCTTTTCCCAACATCTGACCTCACTTATGCGCTGGATCCCCATACCCCAGTCTCTGAAGTCACCAGACCAGTCCAAGAGGGTCAAGGCCCTTTCAAGCAGCCCACACTATTGTTGCTTCCACCTCTTCTAAGCATCCAAGCAACACAGGAGCCCAAAGGCTGCAAGGGAATCAGGTCATCATTCACAGACGAGAGGAGTTTATCACTTCTCAACTGACAAGCCTGACAAGTGTGTGTCAGGGCGCGCAGGCGGGAGAGCAGGTGTGGGCCAGAGCACCCAGCTGCTCCCTATTACCATCAATCTGGGCCCTGTTGACTGGGAGGGAAGGACTACCATGGGGAGTGCCTCTTCTCTCCGTTATTCAGGTGCCTCCTTTTACCCCCAGGAAGGAAGCTTGGACAAAGAGGTCCTCAAAATTATTTTCCAGCTTTTTAAAGTCCCTTTCCTGGACCTCTCTGCTGCTTATTCAGTCCCACAGGCACCAAGCATTGTCCTTAGCAATTCATGCAAGATGGTGCTATTGTATTGGAATTAATTAGGATTAAAGCTTCCCTGTAGTTTAATTGAATTTATGTAATGGAATCGCATTGGCTGTGTGAAGGGTTTTTGTTAGTTGTGTACCCTTCCAGGCTTTACCAATAATAAGGAGGAAAAAAAGGCAACCCAAGCCGTCCCTGAGAGCTCATCTTCCCTTGGAGGCAGGTTGCCAGTGCGGCTGCCCGCCCTTTGGGAGCCGCAGGCCCAGCGGGCCTTAGCCAAGGCAGCCCCCCCCCCCTCAGTGCTTGCCTGCCTCTCTGCTCTCCTGCACTTCAGCCCTCCCTGCAAGGTAAACGTGGGCAACAGGCAACACCTTGCTCCGTGTCCAGAGCAGCTGGCCCCAGGCCTGCGCTCCCCGCACGAAAGCCGGTCCATAGGCTGAGTCCTTCAGGGCACCACAGCCCCAGCATGGGAAGAGATGCAGCTACACAGCAGGCCAGCCACTGTCCCTTCCCCAGGAAGCTGGGCAAGGTCTGCCCTCCGACACTGGACACCGGGTCCCTCTTCAGGACCATCCAAAGTGGGAGCTACTGCCAGCCCAAGCAGCATTAGCTCAAGTAGGAGCAACCACATCTCCATCCAGTGTTTTGCCCAACTTGCACCCCGACCCATCACTGCAAGAGCTGAGTGCTGGGAGTCTTGTCGGGGCTGGAGGGGATGCGGATGTACAGCGTGCTGGTCTTCTCCCCACCTCCATCCTTTGCAGTCCTCCCTGTGTGCATCCTCTGGGAAGAAAGGCCACCAGCATGGTGCTGCAATGCCCTGTCTGTCTGTCTGTCCCACCAGCAAAGGGTGCTGGTGCCTGGAGCGCCAGTTGCTGCAGCAAAGCACTCATCCCTATATAAAAGATGCTCTTTTCTAAACTTTGCTTTCTAGGAAAGAAGAGGAAGATTCAAGGACCTCATACACCCCAAATACTTAAGAACCACTCTGCAAATATGGATCATATGGTAAAAACATCATTTTATTGTTCTTTTTTCTCTTCCTTATCAGTCCATTCTTTCATTTGAACGTGTGCAGGGAGCAGAAGTCTCCTACTGGCTCTGCCCTTTCAAAGGACACCACTTCTGCCTCAAGGAGCCTCTGAGCACTGGTGGCTGGAGGGAGAGTGTGCAGGGCACAGGGTGCTACAGGCTTGCCTGTTCTCATACAATACCTTAAACACCTTATGTTTGTCAGCTTTACTATAGGTAGAAAAGGACGGACTTCAAGGGCTGTCAACACAGCATACTGTAAAAGTAGTCAGGAGTCTTTCTGCAGGACAGGTTAGCGCCTCCGGAGCCTGGCCACTGAGCTTGTGGTCCATGCTAGAGCTGCAAGAGCAAGCTCACGCCTGCTGGCAGTGTATGACAAGGATGTGCCCAGAACTGGGTTTCACTTTGTTTGCAGACTTATTCCTCCTGAGAGGAGGACAAATGTACCACCTTTGCAGGCCAGCCAATATATCAGTGAAATAGGACTTGGACAGAAACTTATTAACTGTAAGCAATGCCGCTGGCCTGGGAAGATGAAAATTGAAGAGAAGATGAGGTTCATATGCAATGTTCCCAGGAGCTGTATGCGTGGTTAATATATGTTTCATTGACTTTGCTGTCTAGAGTGGAAATGTATGAATAATGGGTCCATGGGAGCTCATTGGCTAAAATCTTGCTAAGTCAGGCCTTGAATTTTTTATGTTTTTCCCCAAACTTGTACGAATATTATGAAATATCTTTCTTTTTTTTTTAAATCCTTCTTTCTCCTCTGCTCTCCCAGGAGTCACTGCCGTGTTCCGGGGGTTTCCTTTCTGATTCCTCTGTGCTCTTCGCATTCCTG